TAGACATTCGAAATAACTTAAGAGAACCGTTACTATATATATATATATATATATATAAGTATGTGTGCGTATTATGCAACCCATACCTCCGAGACTAACTGCCTCCGTGACGTCACTTCGATGGCATCGAAGTATTGCCGAATCAACGGCAGCTTTGCTAGATCCCACGCCATTTCACGGTGTGCGTGCGGCGATGTGAAGGTTGTGAGCGCATTCTCCATGTTGCCCACAAACGCCCCCACTGTACGCAGTAGCGAATGGGTGCATGGAACAGTAGCCTGTGCAGTTGAGGTGTATATACAAACACAAGACACGTTAAGCACGTGTAAGCACAGTTTGGGTACTCACAGTAGGTATCTCTTATTGCCGCCGCCGCCGCCTATATACAAACGTTTCTGCACTATCGCAGCAAAGTAAATACACATAGCACAGTAGGATGCGCGTGACATCCACTAGCTCATAATCTGTTTGTATGTATACTATGATTCTATTTATATATACGCTAGCATCAATACATACCCCCCCCCCCCAATCAGCAACAACAATAGCACAGTTCTTAAGTTCTATAATTTGACTACGCTCCATTGGTCTCTATATTCAGGTCACTTTGTCCCGGATTGGTCCACATGCACAATCCTGGCATCGATAAGTACACACATACCTACAAGAATCACTCAGGTGCACTCAACCTTGCTTAATACCTGATATTATAACATACACCTAGTGCAAAGAACATACCTGCACGCGTCCAGAGATGAATGTCAGCAGTCGCACAAAGTGCTGCCCATCTGGCGCAGTGTACCGTTCTATGTTCTGACCTGAACACCATGAAAACGAATAAACAATGAAGTTATGTATAGGTGCTGACAATTTTGACAGGGTGCAGGTCTGAGCAGGATAGCTATATAGCTATATAAGTATCACACCTTGCATACGTATATAAAACACACACACACATACACACACATATATATATATATATAAATATATATATACATATATATATATATATATATATATACATGTATATATATATATATAAATATGTATTTATATACATATACAAATAAACAAATATTCAAATATATAAACAATAAAAACATATACATACACATATACATTCATACACACACACATACACACACACATATATATATATATACTCACCGTTGCACGAGGCGATGTGCTTGGGACAAAGCACTCCACGTGCCGCGAGATGTTGCATCATCTCGCCCTGCAGAATTAGATTGCTCTCTCTCTCTCCCTCGTACGATATCTTTAACACGTACTTCTTCCCATCCTCCATCGTTAGCAAGAAGTTGCAGTCATCATAACTAGGCATGGAGCGTATCATGTGTTTCTGTGTGTCCTTGTTCACCTGGACGTCCATCTTCCATAGTGAGTTGACTATGGTTGTGGCTTGGGCCACACTGATATTGGGCTTTGACAGATCTGCGCTCTGGCCTTGTATTTGACCCTCTTGTGACAGAGGTTGCGTCTGTTCTCGTAGAGTTATATCACAGTGAGGATAACATAAGCAGGCCAAATTCAGAGGTACAGCATAGATGTGGCACAGTACCAATTTTAATGATACAGATACGGGGATCAGTGCAATATTCGTTAAACATATTACTATACCAAATCGAAACATAGAATGCAACTTATATGGTATACAAGGGCGAAAATACACCAGTAACTTCGTACGAATTGGTGAATGACAGATTGTGCAAATCGTGTGACCACCTCTGAATATAAGTGGATAGATATACAAATATAAAGACATATGCATACGTATATTTATATATATGTATAGTATTATATGTATATGGATATATATATCTACATGAATAAGAATATGAACATGAATATACATACATATATATATATTCCACCACACACACCCCCTCACACACACACACACATATATAAATATAAATACATACATATAAATACACACATATATATATATATATAACATATATATATATATAC